ATCATGCAGAAGCTTTTTTAAAAAAGATTTTATTTATTTGAGAGAGAGAGAGCGCGCACCAGCAGGGGCAGGGGGCAGAGGGAGAGGGAGAAGCAGACTCGCCGCTGAGCAGGGAGCCCTATGTGGGACTTGATCCCAGGACCCCGAGATCACCACCTGAGTCGACGGCAGACACTTAACCAACTGAGCCACCCAAGCGCCCTCGTGTAGAAGCTTTTTATTTTGATGTAGTTCCAGTATTTTATTTTTGCTTTTGTTTTCCTTGTCTCAGGAGACATACCTAGAAAGAAGTTGCTATGGCTAATGTCAAAGAAGTCACTGCCTGGGGCATCTGGCTGGCTCAGTTGGTAGAGCATGTGATTCTTGTTCTTGGAGTCATGAGTTCAAGCCCTGCCCTGGGCATAGAGTCTACTCAAAAAAAAAAAAAAGTTACTGCCTGTAATCCATTTTGAATTTATTTTTGTGTGTGGTGTAAGAAAGTGGTCCAGTTTCATTCTTTTGCATGTTGCTGTCCAATTTTCCCAACACCATTTGTTGAGGAGATGTTCTTTTTCCCATTGGATATTCTCTCCTACTTTGTCGAAGATTAAGTGACCATATAGTTGTGGGTTCATTTCTCGGTTTTCCATTCTGTTCCATTGATCTACGTGTCTGTTTTTGTGCCAGTACCATACCGTTTTGATTACTACAGTTTTGTAATACAACTTGAAGTCTGGAACTGTGATGCCTCCAGCTTTGCTTTTCTTTTCCAAGATTGCTTTGGCTATTTGGGGTGTTTTCTGTAAACCACATAAATTGTGAAAATATAAATCATGGTTGTGTTTTTCTGTGACAGTGTAGAAAACGCACATTTTAATCAAGCTAGAAAAAGAAAAATTATGAGTAGTTAAATCAAACTTTCTAGAGTTTGTTCTAGCTCTGCGAAAAATGCCTTTGGTATTTTGATAGGGATTGCATTAATGTGTAGATTGCTTTGGGTAGTATAGACATTTTAGCAATATTTGTTCTTCCAATCCATGAGCATGGAATGTCTTTCCATTTCTTTGTGTCATCTTCAATTTCTTTCATCAATGTTTTATAGTTTTTAGAATACAGGTCTTTCACCTCTTTGATTAGGTTTATTCCTAGGTATTTTATTATTTTTGATGCAGTTATAAATGGGATTGTTTTCTTAATTTCTCTTTCTGCTGCTTCATTATTGATGTATAGAAATGCACCAGATTTCTGTAGATTGATTTTGTATCCTGTGACTTTACTGAATTTGTTTATCAGTTCTAGCAGTTTTTTGGGGAGTCTTTCAGGCATTCTATATATAGTATCAGAACATCTGCCCTTATTAATCCAAGGTGTTATAGGCAATAATTTCTGCCTTCAAGAGTTTGATGGACAGTGCATGGCATACAATGAAAATTCCGAAGTAGTCAGGCCACAGTCCTTTCCTTTGAAGTGCTTGCAATTTTGATAAAAAGGAAAGATATCTATTGGAGAATGCCTGGAATCACAGAGTGTCAAGTCTTCTTGTGGGTGAATAGAGTTTGAGGATGCTCAGATTGTATCAGTCCCCAAGGTGAATGTTCTTGGTCTCCATGCCAAGCAGAATGAGCTTTGGACTAGTGGTCAAAAGCCCTTGGTTCTATTACTGGTTTAGCCATCATTTCTGTGTGATCTTGGGTCAGTTGTTTTCCCCTGTGGGGATTCAGTTTCCATATCTGGATAGTGAGAGAATGAGACTGCCTCTCAACACGAGGAAAATATTAACAGATTCATGCAGAGTTACTGCAAAAAAAATTGGAAAACAGAATTCTGCACATATCAGCTGCAGAATTTTCCCCCAGGAACAATCATAAAGCCAAATAAAACTATAGGACAACAATCTAAATTAAATTTGACTATTTTCTATCTGAATAATAACCATAATAATGCTAATAAGAAAATGGCCAAAATATATTGATAATAGCAAGTATTTATATAGCAATTTACTATGTTCCAGGCACTGTTCTTAGTACTTTACATGTATCGACACTGTTAATCCTCACCACAACCCTCTGAGACAGTATTATTATCATCATTTTACAGATTTAAAAGAAATAGAAGCACACGTTTTAAAAATTGAATGAGTGGTAGAGCCAAGATTTGGCGCCAGTCTATGATGAAATTAATGACAAATGTATAGATGAAAGGCCAATACAGAATTTAAAAAGTAGAGATTTGATTGACTTCTGCAATGTCCTCTGGCTTTAGCTGCATATGAGTCTACATTCAACATTCCCTTTCTTTTTGCTGGAAAGTCAAGAAGTTCAATTCCCTGAAGCTGGAAGTCAAGGCACTTTAGTTCTCTTTTGAGCTGGTTCTCTTGGCTACTTTTAGCAAGGAAGTATCTGGGAATTCCCTTTCTAGCATCTGGGGGCCATGTGGTTCAAGCGGATTCAACCAACTCCCAGAGCAGAGCTTGTATGCTACATATTTTGGGACTGCCAAGAAATAACTAGTTTATCTCTGGGAAAGTTTCCATCTGTTGCTTTGTAGAAATGTTTGAATTTCCACCGTCTCCAGCACGTCCATGCATTTAGAACAATGATCCTTGGTCAGAGCCCCAGAACGTGTTTTATAATGCTCCTGTTCCAAGTGAACTTGGACCTATGGCAATCTGCCTAGAGAAATCTAGCCATCCTGGGTGTATTTAGGCAAAAGTATAGAATCAAGAAGTGACCAGAGATGGTCTCATAATCTGGTCAGTCCCAGGTCCTGGGCCAGATTAAAATCTTTGAGAGCTCAAGCCTTCAAAATGGTGTCCATCCCTCATGTGCAATTTAAAACAAAAATAATCCTATACTATAAAATTAATGGCAGTAGGCAAAAGGTGGAAATGATGCAAGCGTCCTCTGATCCGCAAATGGAT